GATACTCGGGGGAGCTGGGTACTGGTTTTGGTCTCACAGTCGCAAGTCATTATAATAATTTTTAAGAACTTTTTCCCTACAGCTAGACTACTGTTCTGCAGCTGCCCTGTCCTTACACAGGTGCTTACTTCAACGTAATATCAAGCAAAATGGTTTCATTTCAACTTCAGGAGAGGGAAAGGGAGGCAGGAGAAGGAAGACTGGTGTGGATAAGCAGGCTGTAGACACTTCCACTCACTCTTCTGGTGTCTTCAGTTCAGTGTTTCCTGATCAGCAGTTGTTGGATGCACACCTACAGCCGGAGCTCCATCAAAAACTGTATCAGTTCCCTGGTATGGCATAAGATAAGTAATTCCTCTTTGGTTTATTCGCTTGACCCTAAAACTTTTCATGGCTCTAATCAACCTCACTACTTGAAAAATCAGAGAACACAAATTGTTAAGCAATTAAAGCTCAAGTCAGCCACCTAAATTTAAGTATTTACTGCCACTGAGAAGCCCTGGTATTTCTCACCCCACCTCTCCTGCTGGTCCAGAAGAATATGAGAGCTCTGCAGGTCCTGGGTCATTTTTTGTCAGCTCAGTGTTTGTGTCTCAAGCCATTTCTAACAGCACTGAATGCAAAGCTGCAAACTCAAATACTTAGATTTCACAGAACGTTGTCTGCTTACATTTTAGTATTTAGCCTCTACTTAGCTTCTAGTTTGCTGTTTCCATTTCACACCGGAGAAGGAAGGGGGTGCCTTCGAAGCACCCATTTTCCACAACAATGTCACTTCATCTAGTAGAGGATTAAATTCCCCGTAAGCCTTGCCCCTTTATTTTCCTTGGCAGCAGCACAATGTCATCTTGTGACAGCTCTTTCTAGCTCAAACCCTTATCTAGCTGCTTCTGTAGGAACGAAAATAAAATAAATAAAGAAAAAATAACTAATATTTGGGTAGGAGCCAGTGGGAAAACATGAAAGAAACTCAGAGGAAGGCAGAGTAGGACACATGAGTTTTAAGAGGGAGGCACCCTTGATAAATCCCGTATTGGTTTCGCTGGGCAGGATTGGACCTGGGGAAGGGGGTAGCAGACAAATAATAAAATTACTCTTTTCTCCCTCAATTTCTCTCTCCATCTTTCCCCTCTCTCCTTCCACCCACCTTCCCCGCAACACCCCACCCCCACCCCCCTTCATAATGTAGCTTCAAAGAAAAACTATTTGCTTCTTTGGTAATAACTGATGGAGACCGTGAATTACCGCGCTAGCACCCAGCCTGGTGTTTATCTCCTGGCCAATAAATCCCTAAACTGAAGCAATGAAGCTAAGTACTGCTGCTATTTCTGCGTTTTATTTCCATATTAATCACAACACAAGCGCAACCAGCTCCTGCCCGCCCCGCCTCCCCGCTTCCCCTGCCCGTGTAGCCGAAGAGGCGCCCGTGAGAGGACCGCCTGGGTAGGACTTGCCAATGGGAAGGGACCAAGGAGATGCGGGGAGAAACACAACTGAGGAGGGAGACCCCTGGAGAGGCGGGCAGCGGGATGAGCCTCAAGGGGAACTGGGAAACACTGAGAAGTGGGAGGGAAGCTGCTTCCCCCTGGGACGGAGAGCAGCACCTGCCATCCCCACGGGAGGGTCGGGCCTGGAGGGAAGCAAGTGTATCCACAGCTGAAAACCAGCCGGGTCCATTCACTTCGGATACCTTTGTATTTCCATTTCTAATTCTGTTATTTATATTTATATCTATATCTATATATCTATCTCTATATTTGTATTTTATTTCTGTGTGTACGCGCATATATTTTATATATGTTCAAGCAGATATTACTCATTTTTGAGGCGAAAATAAACGGATTTCCTGAGAGCGCCAAGCTCCCGTCTGTCCCGAGAGAGGCAGCCCGTACCATGCCGGGCAGAGCCCTGTCCTGGCCCCGCACTCTCGCTGCGTCCTGCCAGCCACTTCGGGCAAGGACGAACCCAGGGGGCAAGCAGTGCCAGACTCTGCTACCATTGGATCTTTCCCGCTTTCCTATTTCTATCTCCATATCCCCTTCCCCCGCCCCCCCCCCCCCCCCCCCCCCCTCAATTTCATTATTATTATTTTAATTTTAATTATATATATATATATATTTATTTGCCGGCTTTTTTTTTTTTTGTGGAGGGAAACCCTCCCAAAGAAAACTCCACCGTTCCTCCTTCTCTCCCCATGGGCATCTTCTCCAGAAGCTGGTTTTCTTTTTCTGGAGGGAAAAGGAAAGGAAAGGAAAGGAGAAAGGAAAGGAGAAAGGAGAGGGAAAGGGAAAGGGAAAGGGAAAGGGAAAGGGAAAGGGAAAGGGAAAGGGAAAGGGAAAGGGAAAGGGAAAGGAAAGGAAAGGAAAGGAAAGGAAAGGAAAGGAAAGGAAAGGAAAGGAAAGGAAAGGAAAAAGTAAGGGGACTGTCACTCCTGCTGCACTGGTGCAGGAGCCCGAGGCCAGGAACAGGACACGAAGAGACTTGAATTTCTGTTGATCTGACTGTAGTCTCCTCCTCGGCAGGGAGCAGGCTAGCAGACCTCTCCAAGCGCCTCCCTGGCCGCAGCATCCCATTTCCAAGTCGCCCGGCGTTTCCCTACCCGACCGATCGGAAAGGAGAAGGAAAGAAAAAGCATCTCTGAGGATGCTCTTTCCCTTTCCCTCACCACAGGCCAGTAAGGCGAGAAGCCGGGCCTTTCTCTCGCACCGCTAGGGGCACGGTGCCGCTAGGGAGGACCCGGGGGGACGGGACATTTATCGGCTCTTTTCTGGTGACTCAAACCCGCGGCTCAGCCTCCTGAGGCTGTTCGGTTCTAAGCGGCTTGTGCACTGCTCCACAGCCTCGCTTCTCGGCTGCAGAAGAGCCCGGGGATCCCGAAGAAAGCGGGACAGAGGCCGCGGAGGCTGCGGGTGGGAATCAAATGCCCCTGAAGAGACCTTTTGCTCAGACAACGCGTCTCCCGTCAAAAGGAGGAAGGAGGGGCGAGCGGCAGGGATGCTCTGGGGAGAGGCGGGTCCCGGGCACCTGGCTGCCGGTCCGAAGCGCTGCCCCGGGACTGAGGAGTGGCTTCGCCCTTCTCTCTACTATAATTTACAGTCCAGTCCCGTCGCCCCGAGCCGGGAGGACGATGAAGGGCTGGGGAGGAAGATGCTGCATCGGGGGAGGGCCACGGCTCTGCGCTCCAGCCGTGTCAGTCCTGTACTAAAGCGTGTTCCGGAGGGGTGGGGCCGGCTGCCCCGAGGGCAACTTGCGCCCCGCAGCTCTCCCCCACTCCCCGAGAGCAGCCCCTCACAGACTGCACCCGTCACACCCGGTCTGCTCCCCCTCCCCAGGCCTGCCCCCTCCCTGTGCTCAGCGGCGCGGCAAGCGCTGAAGAGGGGGGATCGTGAGAGTGGGCACTTCAGTGACTTGGGCAGAGGGGAAAACCCTCATAGAAGGCGGAGGGATAATAGTGCAAAACTAAAAGGACGGAAAGGGAAAGGAAAAGGGGTGAAGCCGGGAAGGAAGAAAGGAAGAAAAGAGGGAAGGAGGGAAAGGAGGGAAAGAAGGAGGGAAGGGAGGAGGGAAGAGGGAAGGGAGGAAGGAAGGAAGGAAGGAAGGGAGGAAGGGAGGAAGGAAGGAAGGAAGGAAGGAAGGAAGGAAGGAAGGAAGGAAGGAAGGAAGGAAGGAAGGAAGGAAGGAAGGAAGGAAGGAAGGAAGGAAGGAAGGAAGGAAGGAAGGAAGGAAGGAAGGAAGGAAGGAAGGAAGGAAGGAAGGAAGGGAGGGAGGGAGGGAGGGAGGAACTGCAGCATCTCTTGACCATTGACCATCTTGTTGAAGTACTGGAACGATTGACTTCAGCCTCGGAGTGTTTTTTTTACTGCGTGATTTGTCAGTTCAGCCTGTTTTCGGAACACATATACATCCTCCTTCTCACTTCCAAATGTTCGTGTGTGTGTGCTTATGTCTTAACGATGACGGTTGCTGCAGCATTGCACAGCCCAGCACAGATCACCCAAAGGTGTCTTTAAGAAGTTATTTCGGTTTAAACACACATATTCCCCCGCTTTCGCGTCACTGCTCACCTTGCGACTCGGGGGAAATCGCCTTCTCCGTGTTAGTTCAGGTCACTTCAGAGGAGGGCCGGGGGTGCCTGGCCGGGGAGTGCAGGATCCGGCTCCCGGGTAAGAAGCCGCCGGCTGTGCTCCCCGAGGCTCCTGCTCCTCTGCCCGCTTCCTCACCGAGCTGCTCCACCGAGCATCGCCTCCAGGCGCGCCCAGCCCTGGACAGTTTACCATTTCCCTCCCGGAAAAGGGCTGACAGCTGGATGTCCAGGAAAAATGAGAGTCCGGCTGGGCCAGGAAAGTCCTGGCAAAACCCAGAGCGATCCAGCGCTTTTCCTCAGCTCCCCGTCCAGACAAAGGCGAAACAGGCAGCTTGTCATTCATTTTTTAATTTTATTTGGAAATCTCATCCAGAAACACTGGTCAATAATAAATATATCGATAGTTATCAAGAATATATAAAAAATAAAGACATGGTGTTGTCTTCGAAGCCCTATCCAGAACCAAACAAACAGACGAAGCGAATAATGACAACAGTATTTCAAACAAGCGCCCAGGAAAACGTGCCGAAAGGGGAATAAACAGCAACAAAGCTTCCGATTTAGTTATACAAGTCACTGACCTGGCAAGAGATGCCCCCACATGCAAAATCAAAGCAAATCAAAGCAAAAGAAAACCAAAGCGGCAAAACGGAACAAACCCAAAGCCACCGAGAGAAAATAAGCGACGAGGACCCCAGCCAACTGAACTAGTACGGGAGAGACGGGAGATTTGGCAGCACAGTCCGGCGGGAGGGTTGAGCTGTGTTTTGCACCCTTCCCTCTCCTTTCTTATTTTTCATTTTTCTTTCTTTTTTTTTTTTTTTTTGTCGAACACGGAAGGAAAAGAAGAATCGTGACCAAAAAGGCGTCACAACCAAAGGGGGGGGGGGGGGGGGGGGAGGAGGAAGAGGAGGGGAGAGAAAAAGAAAGAGAAAAGAAATTAAAAAAAAAAAAAAAACAGCACAACCCCCACACCCACAAAACTTGAGTGGATTCACTCGGAAGTCCCTGTTGCCAGGGCAGCCCCCGCGGGTGGGAAGCTGCGGTGCGAAGCCCTGGCTGGGCCACCCCCTCGGGCCGCACCGCCGCAGCCGGGCTGGGAGCGGGAGCTTCCACAAGAAAGAAAGGACAAGCCAGCAAAAAGAAGAAGACCCAGACCGATCCCATCGTCTCTCAGTAGCTGCGAACGCTACAGTGACAACCATGCCTTTTTTTTTTTTTCCCTTTTGCATCCATTTTAAGGAATTATTTACATTTGATCACCATCAGCGGCATCATCATTATTATTAATATTAATATTATTATTATTCTTTTTACAACAGGGACTTTTTGTTTTGTTTCTTTCCGGTTTAGTATAATAAGAAAACACCGCCCGAGGAGCCGGCTAAAACATTACCTTTGCAGGGTCCTTACTACACTAATCCCGTGTTACCGGGGGGGGGGACAGGGCAGAGGGGCAGCGGGGCCAGTTCCGTCCTCAGGCCCCCCCCCTCCCCCCCCCCTTTGCCCGTGGAAGCCCCGGCTCGAGCGCAGCCCCGGTGGCCGGAGGATCCCCGCCGAGTCACTTCAGGAGGTCCTTGGTCTCCCCCGAGATCCTGGCCATGTTGGAGGCGGTGAGGGCAGAGAGGTGGGGCGGGGGGGGCATCTGGCAGATGGTGCAGGGGCACGGCAAGCCCGCCCAATGCTGGAAGCCGCTGCCGAGCTGAAGGGCGGGGGGGGTCGAGGGGGTCTTGAGCAAGGAGTGGGGGGGCCGGATGGTGCCGATGGCCGGCAGGGAGGCGGAGAGGGAGGAGGAGGTGTTGGCGGAGGACAAGGCACTGCCGAGTATGGGGTGCACCTGGTGCACCGGGCCAGCGGCGTGGGGTGGGTGCCCGGCGGAGTGTCCCACCGTGCCACAGTGGAAGGCCGAGTGGTGCCCCCCGTAGATTTCCCCCACCAGCCTCTTCATCTCCTCCAGGGAGCTGGTGAGCATCAGGATATAGTTTCTGGCTAGCAGGAGGGTGGCGATTTTGGAGAGTTTTCTCACAGAAGGGCCGTGCGCGTAGGGCATCACCTCCCGCAGCCCGTCCATGGCGAGGTTGAGGTCGTGCATCCTCTTACGCTCCCGGCCGTTGATCTTCAGCCGCAGCTGCTGCAGGTCCTGCTCCGAGAGCTGTTTCTTGATTTTGTACTTGCTGCCTTCCCCTCCTGCCTTGGAGCCGTTCCTGGAGAGGCCTTCCCCGGACATCTTCTGCACCAGGTCGTTCTGGGTGGAGGAGACGGAGTTGAGGCGGCTGTCCTGGTGGTGGTGATGGTGGTGGTGGTGGTGGTGGTCTCTCAGGTACATCTCATCCATGTCTGGCGAGGAAGCTCTGCTGGAGACAGAGCTGGAGTCAGAATTCATTGTATTCGGGCTTCTGAGCAAGAAACTCTTCCCTGCTCTGGAGGTGGTGGAACAAGACAGCTCTCCTTTGAAAAGCAACGAAAACGGAACGAAAAGGAAAGAAACAGACGGCAGGGTCTGCCAGCGAAGGGCTGGAAATGCCGGAGGAAGAGGAAAAAAGCCCCTCAGCCCCCTCTCTCACCCGTCTCTCCCCTCTCTCTCTCTCCCCCCGGTACTCTGCCTGTTTACAGGATGGCTAGTTAGTGTATGCTTGGACTAACCTCAGCCTGAAAAAGAGGGGCTTTTATAGAGCTGCAGCAGAGAGCAGAGACAAAAGGAGCCCTCCTATGTATAATGGTCTAGTTAGGATGACGTGCCATTATTCAGGGCGGTGCGCTTTGACTGTCCCATTTAGCAAGGACCCCTATTCATATTCATTGTGGTGCCACCCGGGACACCTCAGCCACGGACCATCAGGAGTCAAGGAGACACAAAACCTCTCTGATTGACACCGCACACTCATCGCTCCGTGTGCGCGCCACCTCCTCCCCCTGCCCCTCATTTCCAATATAAAACCGCATCCCGTCTACAGTAGGGAGGCGAGGGGCTGCGGCAGGCAGAGGCCGCCAGGGGAAGTGCCCCCGCTCCTGCGGGAGGGGCCGGGGGGGCGTCGGTCCCCCCCGTCCTGCAGCGCCCCCGACTCCAGGCGCGGCTCCCCGCTTTGTTTGCCATTACCTTCCCCTGCCCCGGCCCCCCACCCCCGGCCGCGGTTTATGGTGCGGCGCCGGCTGCCCCTTGCCCGGCCGGGCCGGCCGCGGTTGACTCGTACCTGGGCCACCGCCGCTTTGTTTAAAGGAGCGATCGCTTGGGCGGCCTCCGCAAGAAAACGCGCCCTGGGAAACCAGCCTCCTCCCGGGGCAGACTGCCTTTAAACAAACAGGGACAGCCGGCGTGCAAGCCGGTGTTCTGGGCGGCGGAGGGGCAGCAGCCCCAGGGGCTCCGGCGGGAGGGCGGCGCTCCGGGGAGGAAGGAGCAGCCGTCGGTGGGCCGGGGAGGCTGCGTTCAAAGTCGGACCGGGCCGGACGCAGTCGGGAAGGGGGGACAGTGCTGCAAAACAAGTCCTAGGCGTTCGCGCCAGTAAGTAACCGTCCGCGGGCAGCGGCTGCAGCCTGGGCGGGACCTTCTCCTGTCGGCGGTGGAGTGGGCAAGGGAGGGGTGCGTGGGGCTGCGCTGGTCGGAGCTCAGCCGGACAGGGCTGGCGGGGCACCGGGGGCAGGTGTCACCGCCCCAGCTATCGGCCGCGCTGAGGGTTCGCCAGCGCTGCCCCTGCCCAGGGGGCGGGAGGAGCCGGCGCGGCAGCTGCGGGGTCTGCTGGGGTGGGGGGTGAGGATCCCCCGCAGCCGGCCTCAGCCGGACCCGTATCCGGGTCTTACACCGTGTGGATCTTCACAGCCCCCGGTGGTGTCTATGCGATGAGTGCGGGGCTGCCAGGACCGGGTCGGGGAGCGCCAGCGCCCGGCTGTTCCCGCCCCGTCCCGGCTGGTGTCGGGGTGAGTTTCTACCTGCCAGCAGGCACATAGGGCCAGGAAGAAACCTCCTTGGCAGAACCTCTCTCCTCCATAGAGTCTCCAGCCCCGAAGAGAGCGAGGGGCCAGGAAAAGAGGAACATTTTCATCCGGCTGAGTATAACTGTGCTTAATCTGCTGAGCAAAATTAAAGCCTTCTGGTTTCAGCACTGTTAGCGATTCCTGCGGTGAGAAGAAAAGAAAATAAAAAAGAAAAAAAATAGAAGAGAAAGATTTAGGAGAATATATCAGAAATAACTGAAAGTTACCTCGCCTTTATCCCCCTTTCTCCGCGAAAGCCATAAACCCACCCAGACATTCCCTCCAGCTGAAAGCTTTGCCGGGCAAACAGGCAGAAACTTGGCCGGGCCCAGAGTCCCCAGAGCATCCCGCGGGGAGTCGCGGGCGGTCTCCTGTGCCCGCGGGGACACTCTCCGGGGCGTCCGGGGTTGCCCTTCCCTCTCGTGGAGCCGGGATGAAACAAGTGAGCAAAACTTGGCACGGTGACGGCGGCGGCAGGAAAACTCACGGAATGGGGGGAGGACTAACTGGAACAGGGAAGAGGAAGGCGAAAAGACGCCGTCGGGGGAAGCAACAGGAGAGGTCCCGTCCTCCCCTCCGGGCCTGGAGCTTCATCTAATGGGGCTTCATCGCAGTGTACCGGAGCTGCCGGTGCACCGCGGGACGAGGAGGGCCGAGCGCCAGGACGGGAAAGAAAGGTCGGGTCGTCACTCGGAGGAATATTACGAGTATTTCTTCTCTTCTCCTTCCCGGCGATGTCGCTGCTCCCCAAGGCTCCCAGCTCGGTTGGGCGGGCCCGTCCCACCTGCGGGCCGCAGCATCTCCTTCCCGGGGCAGGGCCGGAGTTGCCTTAAGGCAAAGGGAGAATTTGGGGAAGTAACGTGAGGTTAAAACCCGGGCGCAGGGACCGTCGCCGGGGAAGTCGTTTCGGAAAAAGGCAGCATTGCTTCAGCGCTGTTGCTGCTGGTAACGATGCCTGGTCCAACCTCCCGCGCCGATATCCTCTGCCGCTATTATTTTGCTGATGCTGGAGAGAGATAGGGGCTGGGAGAGAGAGAGAAAGAAAAAAGGAAGGAAAAAAGAAAGAAGAAAGAGAAAATGAGAAAGGAGGGGGAAAAGGGAAAAAAAAAAAAAGAAATACTGAGAAAGAAGGAAAAAGTGAAAGCTCTCAGCGCAGTAGAGCATAGGAAGAACAAACGCAGGGGCACTTACTGGACGAATTCGTCCGAACGGAGCCTTCCCGTCCCCTCGGCAGGCGTTTCCGGCGGATTGGGGTCGTGGTGCCCCGGCACGGGCTGGCTGGGCTCTCCGCTGCCGTCCCGTTCCGCCTGGGCCAGTGCTTGGCACTGTCCCGACCAGGGGCATTTCGGAGGGGAACGCGTAGAAGCCCGGTGTGTGCCGCTGTCCCGGGGCAGTCAGCGGCAAAACTCTTCCCTCCCAGACGCCGGTAGCAACGAATTTAACCTCCGGGAGCTAGGAACGCCAGTTTTGCCTAGTTGGGGCGTCGGAGAAGGGCGAAAATGGGAGCTGCGTGGGAGCTGCGCCAAATTCACACACACTCCCCTGACTTTTAATTCTTGTTCTCATTAAGGCAGGGAGAGTTGGCGTGGGAGGGAGGGAAACGTGCTTTTTCTGGAAAGAGAAGCTGCTGGGCGGCCTGCACTCTGAGTACCGAAGAGAGACGAATCCCCTGTCCGGCAGCGAGCCCGCCCGGCACCGGCGAGCCGGCAGGAGCCGCGACCTGTCAGTAACGCGGGGGACAGGAGCAGCGGCGCGGCTGGCCCCGGGGAGGCTCACCGGGCACGTCTAGGGGTTTAGAGGCTGTCCGAAACGGAAACTGGGCGCTTTCAAACATCGGATTTTAATTTGTGGGTGCGCTTGAAGGCGTGCCTGAGTTTGGATTCTCTTAGTTTGGTACGGAAATCGGATATACTTTTTTTGCTGCGTAGCGTTAGTGTGAAAGAATATTAAATCTCGCTCTTCCCATGACTTTATTGACCTGGTCGGCAACACAGAATCTGCTTCATTATATGAAGACTGGTCAAATCAGTATTACGGGGGGCGGGTGTGTGTGTGTGTGTGTCAGTTTTAGTAGAAGGCTGTTAACTTTTATGGTGTGTGGCTATTAGGCTTTGCCATCTCTGCTTTTTATTTAAATTCGGGACATTTGACAGCCGTGCTTTCAGTATAAAACAAGTTATAACCGTTAGCACCATAACAAGGTACTTGTCGATGCCTTTGAAGACCCGCAGACGATCGCGTCTCAGGACAACCCTCGGCCAGCCGCCGTCGCGACGGGCGCTGCCGGGACCAGGTGCTGCGCGAAGTGCTGGCGCTGAAGTACGGTAGTTTCTAAACGGCGTTCGTTTTCTTTTAGATTACAACCGATATCCCCTAACCGTAAACTGGTTTTGCTCAAAATATATTGCCGGATTCCATTTAGATTGACGGTATAATTCAGATTGATAGTTTCTCACCATCTGACACACTGACTCAGCGAAGTGAACAGGATAAAAGACTGTTTTAGCTCTTGCGTTTATCCCAGATTCGCTTTCCAGAAGTAGGGCGATAGGAGGGCAACGATTGGAAAGGGATGAGAACGCTGTCCCAGGCTGCTGTAGTCAGATTCCGCAGTCGGGTACACCCGGAGACAATTTTCCTCTGCCTGCATACAGGAAATTTCCATTCCGGTATTTTCAAATTCGTTGGCAACAAGGGGTCAGAACAAAACTCCTCCTGATTATTTAGTATGAATGTGGAGCCCTTACTCAGACCTTTAAAGCATCCTGCAGATGACAACAGGATCGGGTCCAGATCAGGCAGTGGTTCTGGGAAGAGTATAACTTTAAAGGAAACAACTGATGAACATTCCAGGGCAGATAATTAAGGACGGCGTTTTATTTCCTGTATTTAAATACTGATTTGCAAAACTTCTGGGAAAAATATGGCATAAAAGCTTAGTAATAAAATTTAAAATGTCAAAGACTAATTAATTAGAGATGTGCAATTGCTGATCCTCTGATATATGACATTTGCTACCAAAAGCCTGAAATTAGTTTCCGTAAACAATAAAACTCACTTAATCAACAGTTTGCATTTAATTCCTTTTTTTTTTTTTTTTAGATCTGTTGTGAATGCATCTGAAACATGCATTTTATTTGGAGAAAAGATTATAACAAATCGGTTTGAATGTTTCTAAAGCTGTCAGATGTGTCATGGTATTGGTCAACAGTGAAATATTTTGCTGTCTCTGGAATTTACAAAAACACCCCAAACAAGTAATGAATATTGTTGAATATGTATCCGTTAAATAGTTTATTTTTAGATGCTTAGCAGAACTTGCACTACCTCCAAAATTCAGCTCCAGAGCTGAGACTGGGATGCACATTTCCCCCATGCAGAGCTCAGACAGTGGTGCACACTTCACACACACAGAACGGGCTAAACCTGGCATTCCTGGCAAACAAACTTTCCACATACTTGGGAATCACTGCTAGCTTATCACTGCGCTAAAGGATAACAAGGTTTCTCAAAGGCCTGTATTTATTTTCTCTTTTTCCTTTATGTTTTGGGCCCATACCCTCACCTAAATTGTTAATGTTCTCAAATGGGCAATTTTTCTTTGTCTGTCTTTCTGGCTTTGCACACCACTTGCATGTTTTGCACTCTCATTACTGCAAACTTTCTCCATCTTCTACACATGATACTGAAACTCAACCATTGACGTCTAGGAACCCTCTCCCTCACTACCTTATTAGGTAGCTGACAGTTACTGCATTAGTCTCGAAGTCATGTAGTCTGTTTAAATATCAGCTATAAAAAAGAATGCAAGATGCATTTTGAGAGAGTGCATGAGAGCTCTCCCTTGCTCCCCCCAAATCCTCCCCATCAGATGAGCTGCTCTTTAGTAAGCTTCTCAAATATTCAAAGTTACCTTAGGTCACAGTGAAAACAGTGGTGTTTTAACAACTAAAGACTGAAATGTTTTGCAGTCTCAGAAACAAATAAGTTTAACACAATTTATTTTTCATAGTTATAGTGAAAGCAAATAAAGCCATAGAAATTACCGAATAACTCTTCCACTACACATTCAAAAGCATGGAAGACCCACTACAGAGAGAAAAAAAAAAAATCCTTGTCTCATTTTGCATTCCAATTTTAAACAATGTATGTCTCAAGCGAATATTTATGGGTTGTTAAAGGGCTAGTAGAAATTCTAGAAGACACAACAAAAATTATCTGCAGTCTATTCACAAACCTTTGCCATGTCTCAGTGTTCGGGGATGGGCAAATGGACTGTCTTCACCACCCTTGAATAGAACTCTATTGTGTGGGCTTGTTCCATTAGGATCAATGGGACGACATGTACAATGAGATGCTAATGAACACCAGAAACAGTAAAATCTGGCCTGGCTAAGGCATAAGCATGATTTTTTAAATCGCTTCTGAGTCTCTTGCTATACTCCTTTTAGCTGAGCTGTTCAACTTCAAATGTTCAGGGAGGCTTTACTATATAAAATAGGGGTTTTTTTCATCATTTAAATCACATTTCCCCACCCTTGCAATTTGAATCACTCTCTGCTCTCATCTTGTTTAAAGTTGCAGCTGAAATGGGGCAGCCTGTTTTCAGTGGTGATTGCACTGTTGCAATGAACGTGGTTCCACAAGTGGAAAATAAAATACACCAGAGGAAAATAAAGTCAAGCACAAGTATAAAAGAGAAGAATGATGGTCAGAAAGCAAGCACAGGGGAAAGGACAGTGTTGGCAATAGTCATTGCCCCACCACACCTACAAAACTCATTTCCTCTTCAGAAATGTTCATGTCTTGTGCAAGGAGGGCAGCAGTGCTAGGCCCAGCTCAGAGAAGTCCTGACACAGCAGTCTAACTGCAGGGGAAATGTGCTAAGCGAGTGCTTGAGACCAGGAGCAGGGTTGCTGTGCTGTGGGAGGCTGGTGGAAGCAGGGCCCATCAGCACCCTTTATTAGTCTGCCTTTCAGCCTGGGTTGGGATATAGGATTAGAATGTGGTGTTTGACCGGAAAACCTACAAACCCATGGATTTAACACTGGGAACTCGTGATTCTCGGCAGCTTGGAGCAGGCTTAGAAGTGCTCAGGCACAATAGTAATGAGGATCATAAAGTACCACCTCTGTCTCTTAAAAGAGAGAGAGGGAGAGAAGAC